AGACAGACAGACAGACAGACAGAGGAGTGACAACTAGGCTCAGAGGCACCAGATCTAGAGGAGCATCAATTTCCTTGCAGTGTTTCAGCACACACATCCCCTTACTTCCTACTTGGTACTACTGAGAACAAATCAGCAATGCAGATCAGAGGTTTTTTTTTTTTTTTTTTTTTTTGAGGAATCATAGGCGTTTGGACATGTACCCAGAGCCTGGGAGCGGATAAAAGAACCTGGCAAGCTTCAAACTTATGCTAAAGATACTATGAGGATTAAATTTCATACCGAAGAAACTGTGTTCACTGCAAAAAGAAAAAAAAAAAAGCCACTAGTCAAACACATTATTCCAAACTTGGGACTAAATATATTCAATAACGCTTCCAGAAAACACTGAGCCATTGTCTCCCTTCTCTGCCTTAAGGAACTTGGACAGACAGCCACCAGACAGGCAGCTGAGTTCCCCATGGCTTTCAAGGGTGATTTTCTATAGGACCATGCCCTGACTACAAAGAGACTTTACACAGCAATTCTGTAACTCAAGACGCCCTGAGTGTGCACCCTCTGCTGAATTAGTGTGAGCTCGAGGCTACTGCTTACCAGATCCACTTGCCAAAGACACAACCAAGCAAAACAGGGGTTTAGGGAATACACGCAACAAACTGGTAACTGCCTAGAAGACAGGCTCAGAAGCAATAGAAAATGGTAGTGGCCAACATAACTGTACATGCTCCAGAGCTTCCAAAGTATGGTATGCATATGAGGTCCCCTTCTAGCTACAGGATCTGACTCCCAAATGTGAAAAATCCATCCAGATAACAACTAAGCCAAATAAAAAGATAACTAAAAGCATATCATTAAAATGAATCTGATCATCACTGACCATTACTACTTTCTGTAATGGGGAAAATGGTGCGTATCTCAACTTCTCCCCCTGGCTATCCCAAGTATGTGGCCTCTAGACACTTGAAATGGGACTCTGATAATTGAGGACCTTAATTTTTACTCTATTGCTGATGAATTTCATTTCAAATTTAAAAAAATCAGATGCCATTGGCAACTACTATATTGGACACAAGGGCCCTAGAAATCTAAATCAGAATTTTTTTTAAATCACCTTTAAAGCCGAAGGTGTAGATCAGAGCACTTGCCTAGCATGTACAAGGATCCTAGATTTGACCTAATGTACCACCCTAGATCATCAGTGAATCTTAATGGTTCAAAATTATTTCAAAATCAAAGACAGAAAACAAATTTGGAATTAGACTTATAACAGACCAAACTCAGCAGGCCCTCAACACCATAAATGCAGATACCATGGTATTATGTTTGAATATGAAATGTCCCCATGGGCTCATATTTTAACATTTCCTCCAGCCTACAGCCTACCTGGAGGAAGTGCATCATAGCCAAGCCCAGTTCCAGCCTGAACTTCCTGTCTCCTAATCAACTAAGACTCAAGTAGCTGCCTCATCTTCTTCTGGCAATTGCATCTGCAAGCCACTGTGAACTCACCCATGCCTTCAAACCATAGGGACTGTATGCCATCAAACTGTGAGATCAAATACATCCTTCCTCCCCTAAGCTACTTCTTTCAGGTTCATAACAGTGACAAGACATAACCAAAACACACAATAAAAGGTGACATGGGACAGCAACCCAAAAGTGTTTGTACTTTAAAGTATTACACACCTCATTTCATTTTTCATAAGTTGAAGTATTCTACAGATGACATTAGGATCTAAAGAAGCAAAAGCAAGGAACTGTTTGAAAAAAAGGAATTGGGTCACTTTATGAGTACTTAGGGAGGAAAAGCACAATTTAAAAAAATTCTTCTGGCTGGAGAGATGGCTCAAGGGGTCAAGAACACTGGCTGCTCTTCCAGGAGAAGATTCAATTCCCAGCACCAACATGGCAGCTTGCAACTGTCTGTAACTCCAGTTCCAGGGGATCTGAC